GAGAAACCATGTCTGTAAAATTGCCCGTGTGATGTTGGTGTTTGCTGACTGCTCCGAAGTTACTGATAAAACATTCCAAGTTGCACGTTGGCAAATGGGTATGCAGTAAGCATTGTTTCTAGTAGTTTTAGTAAACATTTATTAGTAACTGCCCCCATGTTACTAGAATTGCATATTTATTTCATTTTGGACTGAAACTATTTTACACTACTTTAGATTTTAATTTCAAAATGTCTCATGAGAATCCATGATGTTTTCCAGACTTAAGATACGATGATCTAACATCACCTAGACTTCAATTAGCTACCTTTGCTTTGCTGGTTCCACATAGGGAGCACAACAGCTGGTTTGTATGTAAATAAGAGCCCAGCTTTCTCGGCTGAGGCGCTGACTTCAGAGGGGAGTAAGTGTGAATCAATGAACACTGAGTTCAGTGCGAATCCTCGGGAGCTGGACGGGGTCCAGGATGACTGCAGCACTGGTTGAGAAGAATTTGGGCTGGAGAAAAGGGAAGGCCAATGTTTCAGTCTTCCAGAGTCTCAGCGTTTTTACTATGTCAGGAAGTGAGGTCAGGCACAGCCGCTGTATACTGTAATTGTTTTCTGGAAGGCTAGTCATTAAGATTTTCTGTTTTTCTTAGAAGCCTTTGTAGTGCGAGACTGTCAGTGGAAAATATTGCCTTTTTTTTTAATATGGTTAACATGATTAACCATATTACATTAGCACAGTGTTGAATTACTCAGGAACGCCTCTGAGGGTGCATTTTGAAAATATGAACTGGTTTTATTTGGTTTAAAATATTTGTTTAAATGTTGTAAAATAAATGACAAAATATTTCAGTTTTTTAGATTCGTGTGTCTTGAACAAATCTGTGAAAGCACTAGCTGAAACTGTTTCCTGTGTAGGGTTCTGTTAACTTAGAAATGCGATATCCACTATTACTTCTTTCAGCTTTGCTAAAACAGCGCTTCAGAAGATTTGTTTCTGAGATGGTTAGTCCCAATTTTTTAATTATTTTTTTTTTTAACGGCTGTCATGCCATATGGGCTGAATTCATCCTTCAGCTCAAACAAGGTTTGGGAATGACCTTTAGCTGATGTCTAATAGAAACCACTGTAAAGAAATGAATCAGACCAGAAGTAGACTTGCAAAATGTAACCCTTCTAAAAATCAATCTGTTTAATTCCATACTGACTCAAAAATCTCCACTGCATGGTGACAAAGCTCTAGAAGATGCCTCTATAAATTCTGCTATTGATTCATATATAATGATTCACTAGTTCTCAGTATCTTCCTTTGCAACTCTGAAAACTACCATGTTTGCCTAGTCTTTAATGCTTGCAGATGGGATTTTTCTTGTTTATTTTTAGTCTAGAGTTTAAAATTTTGTGTATTAGCTCATCTTTAATGTCAGTGCAGCCTGTGAATTCTTAGTGCGAACACTTTTTTCTTCTTTTTTTTTTTTTTTTCTCTGAACACGTGAATAGTTAGTAGTGATGATAAACTTAAAACACCTACCTGCCAAGAACAGACCATGGAAAGTAGCACCCTGAGCCGCTGTTACCAAGCGTATGATAGAATAAACTAGTCTTCAGGGATCCAAGAAGCTTTTTGATGCAGTTCTCCCTCTAGGTAGGTTCTTCCTTTTTGGGCCGTGTACATTCACCAGCTGGATTTGCCCATCAAAGCTAACTTGGTTTGGGTTTGGAGTAAAGCCGAGGGTTCAGAGAATGCCCAGCATCAGTGACAGTGTTTGGGAAAGCTGTGAGACTTAGCGTAGGACTTTTCCTCTGGGAGTTGTGGATGGAGGTGGGTTCGGGATCCTCGGATCTCTTCTGTCCACGCAGCGGTTGCTCTCTCTCTTTTCTTTAGAAGCAGCCATGCTGCATTGCTTACCCTGCTGCTGCCTTTGGTGGCGAGTCCTGGGGCTGGGCTGGATTCCTTGCTCCTAGACTAGCAGTAGAAGGGTGTGGGTAATGGCTTTTCAAGATAGACCTCTATTTCTTTGTTTCGTTTTTCAGGAAATTGTGCTGAGTATGTAATAACTTTTCAGGAATTCTCTTGTTATTTACCCAAATACCACCTACTTCCTTGAATGAAATGGAGACTTTTGGGAGGCGAACCTGTTGATATCATGTTCACCAGTAGTGCTTTATTTCCTTTGAAAACTTTTACCTATTATACTGGGGAGAGGTTGAGTCTCCTGCTCATTTGCCAACAGAGGTCGTACCTTTGAGAGCAGCAGTGTCTTTTGCTGCTCTCTTACCAGTGTTTTCAAGGAATGAAGCTGTGCTCTAAAAGCAAAAAGACTTGGTTTTTGCAAAGTCCGTAAGTATGCAGTGGGCTGTACCTCTTCATCGTTAGTATTCTGCCACTTGCAGCCATCTGAGCCCAGCTGTACAGTAAAGCGTTAGTGTTCTGAGTCAGGTGAAACTGCCCCAAGAGTTACTAGAACGGTTTCATTTATGCTAGTGCTTCCATTTTCTGTGACCATATGGAGATTCCTCCTAAGACATGAAATCGTACTTGCTATTTTTGGAGATTGTCATTAACTGAATAGAAACATTTTTTTCCTAATACTGCAAGTATTACGTTCTTCCTCTGAAAAATGTGAAGTTACAGCACTAAGCAAGTAGAATGTGTGTGTAGGTGTAAATGTAAATACTGTCTGTGTCATTAGGTAATAGATTAAGGATTCTAAAAACCACGTGGATGTTGGTACTAACCACACTGTGCTGCTCACTAATGTAGGCAAAGCCTCAGAGAATGATATTCAGCCAACATGGGGGACTAGGATAGAAACTTTGAACATTTATTTAAAAATTGCAGGTGGTATTGGAACTTGTTTCAGAACACGTTTTTCTACAGCTGGTTATTTTGGTTAGTTGAATATTTGAATGCAGCTGTAGTTGCTTTTTGATAAAGGGTTTTCCCCTTTATGTTAAATGCTAATTTCTGTCATCTTTGAGGTTCTTAGATGAAAGAAATTGGGACTATATGCATGTATAAAATACAGTATTTTCAATCTGCCTGTGTATACTGAATTCCTATTAAGGCTCTTAAGACTTAGATCTAATCTCTAAAAATGGGAAAGGTGTAGTGAAGAAACTTCTGCCTTAATTTTAATGTACTGACTGGCAGTGTTACCATGTAGGTATTTTTAAATGGAATAGTTACATACGATCAGATGAGTTTGTTTTCTTGGCAGAGGTAATTCAAAATCTTACAAATAGGGTGGAAGATTATTTTATTCGGGAAATAAATAGCATGCTAAGGTAGTTAAGTATATTTAGGAAAAACTTGATGCAAATTTAAACTTCAGAGGTTGTGTCTGGCCCTTGCACCTGTGTAGTCATATTTGGCCTCTTAAACTTGTTTACTGGGGCAGACCTGGAGAACAATTGGTATGCAGAATGAGCTGGTTTCTTTGGCTGTTTTGGGTATTGTTATGCTGTATTTTGTGGCTGTGTGATTGTATCAGTTATTCTGAGACGCTTTTGCAATCAAGAAAGAATGTGGGTTTTGCCAATGGATGCTACCAGTCTCTTTACCTTGTAATGGTAATATAGGAAAAATACGTGTAATATCAACTGTATTACAGACCCTTTCTGAATGAAATGAGTTAACACCAGAAGAAATGATAGCAGTCAGGCTATGATGTTTCTCCCAGTGTCATTAATCTGCTGAAGATTCAGTCCTACGAGTACAGAATTAATCAAGAGTTTCCCCCCCCCCTATAATTTCGATACTGGGAACGGAGAACTGAACAAAGATTTGGCAGTTGTATGTAGACTGACTTGGTTCGTGCACAGAGTGGGCTGGGGAGTGTTTGTTTTCATTTTGCTTTTTATTCTTAATTTAATGAATTGGACTATCCTAACCGCATTTTGTCTTCTGTCTCGGTTTATAGGAGGTAATGGGAAGGGAGAAGGAAATGTCAGCATTTCCTGTATCCTGTTATCTTGTGCTTTTTATGGATGCTGAATTAACTATACACTGAAAATTCACTAACATTTGGATTGTATTTTGACTTATTGTAATCACAGATTATTTACTAGAAGCCCAAAACTATGCAGCGCTTTTCCATATGCAGTTCTCTGTGATGCTCAGTTAAGGACTTTATATAAAGTACTCTATTCTCTTGTATTTCCTTAAGCCTTGTTTTCACTGTGTCAGACTTCTGTATTGATGACGTGTTGCTACATTGGAGAAATTGGCGGGGGTTGTTGGTCGTTATAGAGACTGAAATGTACATGCGGTATGTGAATTACATGGCCTAAAACTTGGAGTACAAACAATTTAGAAATTGTAACTACAAATTTAGGAATAAAGTGCTGCTTAAGTGTAAGGGATGCAATTACACAGTAGCATAATTTACGTACTGATTTCATCACTTGTGGCATGTCAGGTTGAATATTCATGATCCATATTTAAGGAGTATATTTTTGGAAGAAGTATATGTATTCCTTAAATGCAGTACTTAACATATTACCCTACTTTTCATTTTTGACTACTTGGGTGTGCTCCATTGTGAAGAGCTTGGGTATGTGACATGTGATCCCTCTCCATGCTTTTAAGACTCTCAGTTTGCTCAAGTTTTTAAATGTTAAATGAAGCTAGAAGTGGATGTTTTATAGTAACTTTTGTCTCCAATTAAAGTCAGTTTATTTGAAAATCTTTGGGGGAGAGTTGTGGAGCGTTGAAGTCTGATGATATTTTCCGATTGAGTTTTCAAATATTCTTGACTTGTCATTAAACGATTCAAATAATATCATAGCGCAAGTATTTGACTTTGTTTTGTGGAAAGGAAAAAAAACACAAACAAAAACAATGTCCTGAACGCACTGCTGTATTGTTCTTCTGAAACATTGGTATCAAGTTTGGCCAACGAAGTAGAGAATTATTTGGGGGAGGGGAGAGGAGACATACCTAATGTTGGCACACTCTTTTGTTTTAGCAGGTGGTTAATGTGAGCTGTTGTCAATGAATGGTTTTCAGACATGATGGCCGACCAGCCGCCTCCATTAGAAGCTACGCCTATATTGAATGAAGTGCCACTTCTACCTCATATGGTTAATGGGGACAGCATACAACAGGCAAGTAAACCCCTAGCACTTTTTTCATACAAGTCATGTCATACTGTGCCAGCGCTGGTAGTTGGGAGGTTGACATTCAAGCATACTGTAGCAAACGGAACAAATAGAAAAAACTATTTGTTGCACAACTTGTATGATGGCTGAAAGAGAAGGAGACTTGGAATAAAGCAACTGCAATACTGATTTGCAAAGTTAGAAAAGCGTGTGATTCTCAGCACTGATATCCATCAGTAAAATAGAAGTGCAGATATAGAGAGGAAGAAAATCATTCAACATTAATATAGTGGAAATGTGAAAACATTGCAAATTAAAAGGACTATTTGTTATACACATGTAAGTGCTTTAAAATTAAAATAGGCAATCAAAGAAGGAAAAATATAAGATATGGATTTAATAAAGTGCTATGGTTTTGAAAGCTGTTCTTAAAGCTCATGTAAAATCATCAGTAAGTGGGTGAAGTGCTCTAAACCAAGAAGTCTATTGCAGGGAAATGTAGAGGAGAAGCAAGACCTTGGCTTCCTGATATTAAGTGTCTTCATTAATAATTACAATGCACTGGTGAAACCTGAGTATGTTTAGTTGAAATGTTAGAGTTTTATTAGACTCAACTCTTCAGAAGTATCTGGTACAATTAGAAATATAAATAAAAGTGAAAGCAAAATGATTTGACTGAAGCACAAACTTGTATAAGTTGTAAGTAAACTTGAAGTGAATTTACTGTTTGGCAGTAGAAGCTGAGTGCCTTGTATGGCAGGTACTGAGAGATCTTCCTGTCATTTGGAGATAGACTTCCAGTGCACTCAGAAGTGTTACAGGTATCCTGACTTTTTAACACTGGATGTTATTTTAAGAAGCATCTTCCTCCTGTCCTAGAGCAGCTACAAACGTGACTGGTCCTGAGAGGAGAGAAAAGGTTTGTTTGTTTTAAAATAGCTAAATAGCTGTTTGTTGGCTGGCAGCAATTGCACAGGGTGATGGATAATCTCACCTAGACTCCCTTTCCCACAAAAGATTGGACCAGATGGTCTCTTGAGGTCTCTTCCAACCTGGGCTGTTCTAAGGTTCTGTGATAACAAAACATAAATTCGAAGGATTTATGTGCCTGGACTTAATCATTTTGTTGAAGCAGGGGACAAAACTGCCCGTTGCTTTAACCTGATCAGTTATAACTTCAAGTATCTGACAGTAATTGAAATAGGAATTAAGGGGTTAATCCAGAAGGAAAAGTTGCGTAAAAGTTTCTGGAGGATAACTGTCATATGATTATGAAGGGTAACAGTGAAGACCTTGGCATATTTGAATGTACAGTGGATAAACAGGGTACAACAATATAATCATGAATTGTTGAGGATCTGATGGACATAAATGCTGAAGAGTTTTACAGGAGGTACCCTGTACTTTGTAATTGTTAGAGATGGGGAATGATTGTAGTTTATTTGCTTGTAAAAATAGACTTTATTTAAAAAGTCTACTCTGCTTTTTTTTCCCTCATACTCTGGAGATCAAATACAGTGACTGTTTTGAAATAAGTGAAGCTATAGAGTCTCTACATTAATTCTGAAGTTCTAGCATTAGCAATGTGAAATTTTAGACACTGACCAGCTGTGAGGTTATTCAGTAGCTACTGTTTCATGTTACACAAGGAAAAGAGATCAAGTAGATCTAACTGGAGACTGTCTCCATAGCTGTACTTGTATAGCGTGTCTTGGTATATAGATCAGCGTGTAGAATACTAGATTATTGAACGACCCAAAAGAAGGTGACAGTCGTTTAAATTTTTGAAACCTCGTGGAGACTGTTTGCAATCAAGTGAGGTTAAAAAAAATAGCTTGATCTTGGAGGTGTATGGGAAAATGGCATTTTAAGAGTAGACTTCGAACACTGGTTGTCTCTGAGACTTATAATTGAATTATACTGGAAATAACAAATAAGTCTGTCTAGTGAAAATCTTCATGTGCCAACATTTCCCATTCTAGCATGTCAGTATATAAACAACCGTGTCATGTTGCCGTAGGTCAGCTGCCTAACAAATACACTTGCTGCCCTTGTTTGTGGCACCTTTCTCTGGAGAGGAGAAGCTTCTGAGCCACAGTCTCACATTGTAAAGTTTGCTTTTAAGTTGGGTATTAATGTCGAAGCTCTATTAATGCAGATGTTTTTTAATTATTTTGCTGCCAATGCTGTAGAGGATAGGCTAATTATAGAGTCCTGTGCTGTGGTTTCGTTTTCAGAAATAAAACTTGTGCTGTTTGTGGCAAGTCCCTTCAGTCAGATGCAGCACCCAGTTCGTTAGTTTCGTTTCACATAAAGTATCAGTTGGAAGCTTTCTGGAAGGGTTTCTTGTTTTAAAAATCTTCAGCAATGGAAATTATGTGAATAAGGGATAAGAGCAAAACACTGACCAGTGCTTTGAAATAGCATGATCCCACTTGTTCAGAAATGGTGGTACATGACGCCTGAAGGTGTCGGCATTACTGTGACCCCTAGCACTAGTCTGTTTGCTAATTTGGCTTGGATTGACTCATTAGAAACACTCAAGCTTCCTGGAAATTTTCCTTGGTGGAAGGTAGATGGAACTGCATTTGTTTCATTAATTATAGTGAGTTATTCCTCTAAGACATTGCCCCATGCATTCCTGAAATTCCAGTCTCTGAACTGCTCTACAGCCCTGTGATTACACCGCTTACTTGTGATCCTTTTTGCTGAGTTCAGTTAATAGTTTCCTGAACTGTTTGTGAGAACTTCAGTTAATTGAAACCTGTTCCGGAGACCTGACATGTTCAGAGGCTCTGAATTTCTAAAAGGGTCCCTTTCCTGCCTCTGAATTTTCTTGCCTTCAAAGACGGAGACTTGCTGTGGGGCTTAATACCTGCCTGCGGAGTCCTGTCTCCTGCTAGTGTCCATCCCCAGCAGCTGTTGTTCGCAGCAGATCTCATCTTTCCTGTTTCTGTGTGCTCTGGCAAATCCCCAGCGCATTGTTGCCTGTTTTCTTTAAACAATTAACATCGCTTCTCTCTTTACTCCTAGAAATTTGGTAGCATTGAAGTCATAAATTTACTTACATACTGAAATGACAGATCAGCTTAAGTTTCAATGTTTTAATTATGCCATTTTAAAAAGTGTTATCTGTCATCTCTCCTTCTTGTGGAACCGTAATAAATTGAACAGGCCTGCTAGCCAGTCAGTAATGAGGTTTTTGGTGTTTTACTTATGTCCAGAAGCAACTCATCTGCCTCAAGTAAAATTGTCTCCTGTACTGTGAAATCACTGGAGCAGGGGCTGTGTTCATATATGCTTCTGCATCGCCTGGTAAAAATTAAAAGCTAAGATTAATGTAGCAATATGCAGAAGCTCAAAAACAGTGTTAAACAGCATTTAACAGTCTGCTCCTTTCAGTTTTGTTTTACACACAGCAGTTTAAATGTAACAGATCTGCGCAAACCTCAATCTCTTTCTGTGCTGAAGTTGCACACTCAAGGGTAGAGGGAGAGAGAAGCGGGAGACGTAAGCTGTAACTGCAGGAGACGTGGGTGTGTTTGCACTTACTCTCTTACACGTTAGTTGGAGAAGTGGGCTTTGGCTAATGCCAGCATAAGCGACTTGGCAAACTCTATGGAAAAGAGTAGTCAGTGGAATTGGTCAAAATGCAAAGGTTGAACGAGGGACCGCAAGATCTTAAGTCTCATTCTTTTCAGTGATCTTTTTGTTAATGACTGATATAATAGAATTGAGGTGTACTTAATAGATCTGAAGCTGATATGAAATGGGAGGAATTGCAAGTGTCTCGGAACTCTGAATTTATTTTGATTACTAGAAATATAATCCAGAAAATTAGCAGCGAATACAACGTACTGTGTTTAGGTAGTCAACTTACCGCAAGGAATTACTGGTTTAGTAGTGGTCCTTTAGAATAAGGTCTGCCGAGGGATGGATAAAGACTGCAAGTGGAAGTCATCAGTGTTGCAGCATTTCAAAAAAAAAAAAAGCAGATACAAATCGTAAAAGGATTTATATACAGGACATGGCATCTAAATCACAGAAAACAATCTTTTCTTTTATTGGTGCTTTATTCTTTATTTCATTGGTGGTTAAGACATGGAGTAATGGGTTCAGTTTGAAGTAGGGTATGTTAAAGTTAGATGATAAAATCGGTAATGATGTGAGGATAGTGAAACTGTGGTGCAGATGCCTGGAATGTTGATGGAGCTCCATCGCCAAAGATGTAGCAGCACAAAACAGACAGGCTTATGCATTAACATCATGTGTAGTTCATTTTTACTAGGAGTTAGATGACTAAGTCATCTCTTCAGGTCCCATCTACCTGATTTAATTGTCATTCCAGGAATAGAATAAAAATATTTTATAAAAATTTATTGAAACAAAATTATACTCTGAGTTTCATAGCTGGTTTTACAAATATATTTTATTTCAATTTTTACATCAGCCTTTCTCCTTTATGTGCTAGCTGTCACCAGGGTGGAATTTTGACTATGTAACTGTGCGGTTCTTACATGGCCAAACCACTCATTTTACTAAAGAATTAGACCTATGCCTATGTAATATAGTAGAACCTCACTGCAAAATTATTGTACTAAAGTTGTTGTGTTACAATAAAACTGAAGCACAGCTGCCAGTGTTTTACAGTAAGCCTGAAACGTGCTGTGAATGGGGTAGAATGAGGGGATCATTTGTGTTACCCAGCACAAGGGAAATAATAATGGCAGATGTCCACGTTGATTTGTGTGAAAGTGAATGTGATCATGTCCAAACTGACCCGTGGAACCTCACTGTTAGTTGTATTACACAAAGGTGAGAAAACACACCTGATATCTCAGGAGCTGTAGGGCAGAGGCAGTAGGCATGACCTGCTTCATCACCTCTTCTGCCCTCCTTCCACCCCCAAAGGACTGCATACTTTATTAAGTTACCTGATAGTATCAGAGAATATATTGTCAAAATACATACCAGTAGGCTTTCAATGAAAAAATATGGCTGAGTTTTGGGCAAAGCATTTATTTTTTGTGTGTGTAGTTCTGATTTTACTAATTTAGCCCTGAAACTGAAGTAATCTCATGGACAAAGTTTGGAAAGCAAGGTGAATCTTAGGTAATCTATTCCTTCAGTAATGGAGGACAAAGCAGTGTGAAAATATTGAAAATAAAAATTGTCAATTGTATCAAGGAAAGCACTTCTGGTAGTAATTGGAGAAAAATACTGGTTATGCAAAACTAATGATTTTCTGTCAAAGTATGAAGAAGTTTCATTCTACCCATCAGTGTTTCTCATCTTGCTTTCTTATTCTCTAAGATTGCCAAAGCTATATAGTTTTAATCTAACATGTGCATATAAGGAAGAGATGGGGATTTTTTTTTTGCCAGGAAATTTCTAACATTGGAAAAAAAAAATAAAGCCTCTCATGTTTTGTTTTCTACAGGTTATTCTTGTACAGGTAAACCCGGGTGAAACATTTACAATTACAACTGAAGATGGACACATTCAGTGTATTCAAGGTAAACTGCAGTACAGAGTCCAAATATTTTGATTCTGCAAATACCATAAAATTACTATCAGTATTGGTTTCTGTAATGTTAAGTGTGGTTTTGCATGTTCTGCAATGTAATAAATCAGATTTTTCAGTTTGTACTTAAAGCACAAATAAGACAGCGCTGGGAAATTGACAGGATTTCCTGCATCTCTGCAGACTTTGCTGCTAATTTATAAAAGGCTGGCATCTCAACTGTTTTTGTAATGGTCCTTGAATAACTGTGTTCTCAGAATCTTAACACGTGAATTTATGTGGGACTTAGTCTACGCTAATCTAAACAACTTTAATAGATGCTGTGTGACCTCACTTTACTGTAAGGTAGTGGCTACTGTTTATGGCTACAGACTACATTTTACTTTCTGGGTAAGTGACAGAACCGCAAATCTTGAGTCGGGTCAAAATATCTCCTGTAAGTCAAGTTGAATATATCAGTACTTCCATTTTTGGAATATTCTTCACCATTTGAAATGATATTATATAAAATGTGTACATTCTGCTTTCATCAAATCACAGACAGGAATACTTTCTTTCAGCTTGATGTGAAAAATAATATATTCTGATGGAAAAAAAAAAAAAAGAAAAAAGGGTCGGTAGACCAGCTGTCAACATTACTGTGGTGCCAATGTTGTTGCTACAGACTTAGCTTTGTTACAAAACAAGAATTAAAATTTATCTATGCTGATTTGTATCCAATTAAAGAACTGCTGTTGGCTGTATATGCGTCATGGTCGGGATAAATCTAATGTGTGCTTTTTGTAGAATAAACGTACAGCCATACTTGCATTCAGCAATATTATCTAAAATTCTGGATGCTTCCTGGAAGTTACTAAACCATTATTAATGTGTGTTTGGAATGTGAAAATGATTTATCCATTGGTGACATAAATTGCATTATTTTTCTTGATGAAAACTTGGTACAGTCACTTTTTTTTTTTTTCAATCTCAGTCCTGATTATTTAAGTTTCTCTCCTAATTGACTTTTTTATTGGATAGTTTAAGCCTTGCTTCTAAATCTACTTGTCTAAAAGTAGTTCCATAAATGCAGAGTTGGCTGCAGTTGCTGGCTTTTCAGGCACCAAAGTGAGCCACCACCTTTGGAAAAAAGGTGTCTCGAGTTTGTAAAAGCCTCATTTGTTAAAAAGTGGCACCTTGTTACTTCTCAGGTCCAGCACATGTTCCTATGATGTCACCAAATGGTTCTATGCCGCCTATATTTGTGCCTCCCGGTTATGTATCTCAGGTAAACTTTAATTTATTCTTGTATTTAAGTATGTTTGTGGGTGTGGCTTTTGAACAATAGAGCTATTGACTATTTTATCTAGAACAGCTCTTAAAAGCATTTCTCTTTTTCCACTGAACTTATCAACTATTTAACTTTATTTTAGGCTCTGTCACCTTCTGCTCACTTAGAGTTTGATCTAGTTTTCAGGATGTTTTTAATAATGCTACTAGGCAGTAAAAGACTTTCAGTAAGGTGGCTCTGAATTGCCTATCTGTTGAGTTCCATTAGCAGGATCCACATCTTGATTTTTTTTTTTTTTTCAAGATGTTTTCGGTGAAAGTAGGTGCCTGGGTCATATGAACGATCACAGTTGAGTGCAGCCTGCTAAGTGTCAGAGGACTGATGACTATAGATGGTGCTTAGCGCTGCTAGAAACAGTCTGATGGGAACATAGCTGGGGGCAGGGTTGGAATTGATCATGTCTCACGCATACTATGAATATGAGACTTTTTTTTTTTTTTTTTTTTTTACATTGGGGTTATATGGGTTGTACACCAGTTATCATTCTCTTTCATCCCTTAGGTCTTTTTTTATCCCTGGGCTGCATCAGATATTTCTCTTTAATGTCTACTCTTAATTCAGTTTTTTCTATTCTAGTATAACTATATTTATAATCACAGTTTTCAATGCCCCTTTCTTTGCCAGCTCAGATCTCCTTAACATGCAGCAAAGCACTTTACTATTATAGCAGAGGTGTGAAGAGGAGTGTTAATGCTAGTGATAAGTGCCTATGAAACGAGCAGGACTCTGGGCTTCTCTCCCAGCTTTACTTTTCCATTCTCACTGATTTTCCACTCCTCTGTGTTTTTAAGTCATAGCAGATCAGACCTACGTGTGTGTGGTATTTGAACTGTTATCAGAGGTATTTAAAGCTGCCAGTTTGATTTACTTTTCAATTAATGCATTTTTAAAGGGAAGTAATTCAAAACAAATGTTTAAGTGGGACAGGCTAGGTTTCTTATTTTCTAGTGATGTTCAAAATCAGGAGTTTCCTGACTAGGTGTGAAAACATTGCTAGCTGTATGTTCTTGAGTTCCCCAGACAGTTGTCTTTTTGCATACAGCTGCCTCTGTATTTTGTGCCTCCGCTATTAGAAGTAGGTACTTTCATGCAGACCCTGGAGAAAGATCCACCAGATAATTTATGCATCAATATGAAATTGAGTCTTCTGCAAACAGTATGCAAAGCACTGGCAGATGCTGAGGTGTACAAACTGAAAAATACATTTGTTCTGTGTTTGCTGTCACATGAAACTAGGGGGGGTGTGTTGTTTTGTTTTCCCTTCATTGTTATGACAAGGATAGACAAGTTTGAAACCAACTTTAAACACAGCCGTCAAAATTTGCTCTGAGTTTTGCCTTGTATGTGTTACTGCATAGTATTATAACACATGCTATGGAATGTAGTTCAAGTGGTGTATTCAGTTCCGTTGATGAACCAAAAAGCCCCCCACGTTGTTTCTAGAACAAAGTGTATTCGGTGTAAGCTTAGTCTTAAGTGACTTCTTGTAATTTTTTTCTTCTATGTAAAGTCTGGTAATAGTTGCTAATAATACAGCTGACTGAGGCCGTCTCACAGCTGAACTTTGTCATAGCAGTTTGTGAGTGGACACATTCTATTTCCCTTCAGAAGAAGAATTTCTTGTTAGTTTGCTCTGTCTTTTGCAGAGGAGCTTTTCAAAATGTACTTTTGGCATAAGCAATATTTCAACATCTGTAATGCCTTCTGGGCCAACTAGGAAATGCTACAGTGATCTCTTACAGCCAAACTAAATATGCTTTAGGAGAGGATCTTGAAGAAACTAACAGGATAAAACATAGGGCCTGCTTTTGTGTAAGTGCTTTCTTTAAATGCCTGCAAATATAAATTGTGTATATTTTAAATGACAGAGGGCTACATAAATAAGGTGAAATCTTCTAAGAACAGGTTTTATTGACTTTATAGATTGCATTAAAAAAATAAGGTTTTTTGCATCTCAATTTTGTATGCCAGTGTGCAACTGGAATGCGCCCCCCACTTGTGTCCACGAATGTTTTCTGCTGACTACATGATCCATCTCTGTTAATACTAAAGTACTGTAAGGCCCTGCCTAATAGCGTTTGTGATTTGCATTTTTAAATGCAACTTGGAGGAGGTGACTGATTTAGAAGGAAGGAAGCATAAAACTGCAAACTAATTTTAAACCAATCCAAGAAAAATGCCTTGTTTTCCAAATGAGAGTTGGTAAATTTTGAAGTGTCAGTTTGTCTTTAATATTGAACATTTTGCTATCATTGATTTTTTTTTTTTCTAATTACATTGCTCAAACCTCTTTAATTTTTTGTGTGAGGGAGAAGAGAAAACAATTGATTTGTTGTCTGCCTTTAAACAGGATTTAATACAGTCTAGTTTGCTTCTGAGTCAGACTTCTTATTAGATACAGTCTGAATTTTATGCCAGTGGACTTCTGTATTGTAGCAAAAGAAACAAACTGTAATATGACCAGGTGATTTCTCTGATGGTCAACTCAGAGGTCTTTGACCCTGTCAGAACTGTAGGTGCTAAAAACTTAATCCCTCAGATATGCAAAATGGACTGTAACTACAGAATGACAACAAATCAGAGCAGATGTCCTCTGTCTGTATGATAAACCCTACCTGGAGAAAAGACCCTGTAAACCTCAGCCTCTGGTTGTCTGTTCTAGGGGTCTTAAAGATGAAACTAAACTGGGCATTGTTTTACTTTGGTGTCATCATTGTTTAATATGTCTTTTTGTGAATCCTACTCTGGTGTTATTTTCTGACCTTGTCTTCTAAAACCTGTGTTCTGTCCAAAGTCTCTTCTCAGTTTTAAGATTTAGAGAAGCGTTATTGTATAAAACCTTAACGTGTCTTAAGTTTACTGTAGGAAAAGCAATACATTGAGATATTAATGTATTTCACACTGGCAGAATTAGCCTCCAGAAGGAGCCTATATATTGCTAGTTTAGGACACATGCTTAGGAGTGTGCGTGTGCATACATATGCATGCACTGTCTTAGCATCTTTTTATCCTAGAGTTCAGACGCACAGGCAGGTTCCTTGTCTGAATTCTCTTAGCCTGTGGCAAACATGAAATATTCTGACATTTGAGTTGGGTTGGATCATAGTACAAGACAGCAGAGCTGACTTGTAGTACTTTGTACTTGCCATAGGCTAAGAACGTGTATGCAGACGTGTACCACAAATCAGATGGCGTGCAGTGACTTGTGCGTACAATAGCGTTGTCAGTCAGGATGTGGTCTGAAGCAGTTCTTCTAACTGTAATTACAAGTAGACTGGGAATTACACCCTGATCAATTCACATTACTTATTTAAAATAACATACATTATTCATAAATTATAGATTGCTTAGCACTTTAGTGTGTGAGGCTCAGCTCCTTAGAACTGACTGCTTCAATCTCCAGTTTCTTCCAGTAATGTATGCTGGGTTTCCACTGGAATGCATTTTGCTGTGTATATCCCTGACTGACTGATTGTGGGTATAAACTTAAGCGTAAAGATTCTTTATTAAATGTACAATATTTACAAGATTTTTTTTGTACTGATGTTTCGTTTCTTATGTTGCGTGACAGGTGGTGGAAGAAAATGGAGTTCGTAAAGTGGTGGTATTGCCACACTCGGCTGAATTCCATCCTTCCATGCATCCTCCTCCTCCTCCTCCCCATGTGCCACATTACATGCATCATCACCATGCTTTGCTTCCCCACCCACCTCACCCAGTGTACCCTCTGGTTCCTGGGACGGGAGAGCTACCACCACAGTTCATTCACCAGCATCCACCACCACACGTTTTTCAAGAACAAGGTGAGAGCGCAGGTGACGGTTAAATACATGAGAAGGCCTTTTCACTCTGTGTATCTAGATTGAAACAGCTGAGTTCTGTTGGTAGCTCTTCCACACATTTCTGTGATTTTGGTGCTAGTTATTAGACTCCCTGAGCCTTAGATGTGTTTATGGGGTATCTTAAAATACACTTGTGTATAAGGTATCAGGGCAACCTGGGCCAGTGTCTCACCACCCTCACAGTAAAGAATTTCTTCCTAATACCTAATCTAGATCTACCCTCTTTCAGTTTAAAACTGTTACCCCTCATCCTGTCACTACGCTCCCTGATAAGGAGTCCCTCCCCATCTTTCCCATGGGCCCCTTTAGGTACTGGAAGGGGCTGTAAGGTCTCACTGGAGCCTTCTCTTCTCCAGGCTGAACAACCCCATCTCTCTCAGCCTGTCCTCATAGGAGAGGGTCTCCAGCCCTCTGGTCATCTTCATGGCCCCCTCTTCCTTCTATCAGGGAAGAAAGGCAACTGTAAGGCATAATCTTGAGCAGCTAACAAAAGAGAAAGGCCTGAATAATTAAATTTAAAAAAAAAAAAAAAGGAAAAAAACCACAAACCCTAAATGCAGCAAGTGATCAAAAATAATGTTTAAGAAAAAAAAATCAACTGTTTGGATGTGGGTTAAATGGAAGAATGGAAACTTGCTTGCAGATATTTTGCATATCTTATTGTAGCATTTAACTAACATTGACGTTTCAAAACAAGGATTAAACCTCCAGGCACATTCTTTTCCTACTACCTGATCTTTATACTCACTGATTTGAGCCCAATCTGTAAACTCTTTATCAGATGAGATTCCTAAAGTCTAGCGATGTTCTGCCAGTCAGCGGTGTGATATATGCATGTTTCTTGTCTGTGGCTCTGCTGCCCAGAGACACCTGAGTATCAGCCGTGAAACTCCTCAGGGCTTCACGGGCGCACCGGGCTGACGTTGTGTGAGCCATGCAGCGCCATGCATCTACAGACTGACAAAGCAAGCACAGTGAAGTTCCACAGGTTTTCAAATTCTTGTCTTACTGTAGTTATTCTTCTAATTTATAGAGTGTTTCTCAGGTGTCAAGTAAATCATACTGAATAATGAACTGAGTTCTCCTTTCTTTGTAGAACCTCGTACTCATGGAAGGACAAACTTCATTCAGCGAGATGAAAGGAGTCTCAAAATGCAAGAACACCTGAAGAAAAGACTAAAAGACAGACAAGCTAGTGGTCATACTAACAATAAACTTAACAGTCCTCCATCTTCACCACATAAAGTTGTTAATTCTTCCAATGCAACAATTCAGAATGGAAATGGAAAGGGACAGCAAGGGGCAGGAGGACCACTAAAGCAGAAGCAGATAGGAAAAACAAAGGGCAGTCCAGATGCAGAGATGGGAGGTAGGTTGCATTGAAGGGGTAAAAAAAAACAATCTAGATTCTTTTGTGACAGAAGATGCTGTGAGTTCATTGCAAAATAGTTTCTGAGAAAAATGATTTTGTAAATTTCTTTGGCTCTTCAGGATTAGAGGAAGCCTGAAATACTTTTCATTATGTTTAGATTATTTTTTTTTTCTCTAGAAATCATAGTAATGTCAATGTTCATTTGAAATTTATCAAATAAGGTCTTCGGGAAGATTTAATTTTAAATCTTTTGTTTACTTCTCTGCCTTTTCTGACCCAGGACTGATCAATATTCCAAGTGAAGATGACCTGTGGGTACTTATATAAAAAACTTCTGATGTCATTCTTTGTGATACTTTTCAGATAACTAGAAGTTACTGAAAACTTCAAGAAATAGGAAGGTTTGAGCAACTGTCTCGACAGGTTGCTGTTTGATCAGTTGTAATTTCAATCCAGTGTGTTATTTTGATCAGATTAATGTTTGAGTTTTTTAATAGCTTATGGCTATTTACTTGCACACTAAAATATATTGTGTACCGTATCTTTGTCTTTCATGTTGATTTGAAACAGTGTCGCTGAAACACAGCCAGTTTCTTATGATTCCTTAAATTATTTGTGTATCTTTGTAGCGTCTTGTATGTGTGTCTTAATTTAAGTGGATTTGTTAGGCTGCAAGGTCTAGTCCTCCGTGTTGCTATTGTATCTTTGGTTAGAGCAATAAAAAAGAAACCTAGCTCTCTATCTTGGGAAGGAAATAGAGGTGGAAGCTTTTATTCAACTTATTTCAAGGGTGAAAAATATACTTGATTAAAGATCTGCCTTAATGCAAATTATTGGGGGGGGATAAGGTTTTATTTGTGGACAGAATAATATCCTGATTTGTTTGATATGGACAACTGTATAGACAGGATTCATTTTATACGGGTAATGCTTTTGGTACCAGTAAGTATTTTTAGTGTGCAGTTTTGATCAGGCTTGTTCTAAATTATGCCTAGTCCAAGTGTTTTGCAATAGAAATTCAAGGAAAGCACATACAATAGAGAGATAAGATCTTATTGTCATTTCTTTAACACCTTTTACTTTTGGAGGAACATTTTTGTGTTGTCAAAGAAAACCCGTTTATGCCTAGATGAGGAAAATATACCCTTTGTGCAGGATGTGCTAAAAGGGTTTTTGTAACACTGTTAGTTTTGGATAGTTCATGTTTCTACCCCTCACATAGCCAAAACAAACAGGGGAAATGAACTTTGCACAATAAGTACTATTGTTAAACTCTTAATGAGGCGAACTCCATCTTGTGGTGGCATTTTTGTAACAGACTGGTTTACTCTTGGGGTTTTTTGTAATCTGTTTTGTATTTGAAATTTCAGAATCTGACACAGAATCCAAGAAATGTGATATTCACTTGAGCATTGGCAAGCCAGTCGTAAGTATTATCCTTAAAATACCATTATTTTCTGTGCATATACTTTCTATAAAATAACATGGATCTTATTGATCTCTCTTGCTTTTTTTCTTAATGTTTTATTTTTTAATAGAGAAAATGTATTTTAGTTGTCAGAGGTTGTAGCTCGAAAAGGGCAACCATGCTATAGAAACCTACTTTTTTGCAACTTTCTGAAACTGTCTGTCTGACTCGGTTTCCCAGTCTGTAACCTGCGAGTATATCCACTGTTGAAGTCGTATAGTATATGAGAGCACTTTAGTAACTTGCAAACAAAGGGCCTGCTAAACTAATGGAGGTCTGTCCCCTCTTGAACCATCCTTCGTTCAGCATAGAGGATTTAAGAATACTGGGTACAGAATTTACAAAATAGATCATCTCGTTATGTTATGTTTAGAAATCGGAGCAAATATTGGAGTATTTGCAGACTTGTTTAGGAAGTTGGAGTCTGGTGATGTTAATGTAAATGTCGAAAGGCTAAAACTGCACTGATATTGTTGATCTTGAGTATGTTTAATGAAACTCCTTTTCATTATGCATTATCTGTACAGTAAGCATGGGTTGTATTCTTTTGCTCCAGCTTTCTAGCTATTCTTTGTTACGGTAGTATTTCTTCATTGCTGCTTTTGACATCTGTACTTAATGCCAACAGAAGGCCATGATGACTTTGTCAGAGAAAATTTGGAGTATGGGAATTAAGCAGCAAAAATCTTAAACCAAAAATTTTAGTTGTGAGCACTTAAAAGCAGAGCCTTTTGCTATCATATAGCATAGTGGTTAAATATTAAGATTACATGAGAGAGTTGTAATGGAATTAGAAAGTTAGGCAGTCTGACTGTGCCTAAGTAGAGAGCCCGGGTCAGTGTTCAAGACTCCAAATCTGAAATTTTAATCCAAATGTGTGATACAAACAGTGCAGGAAAAATAGAAGTTTTCTCTTCACACACTGAGACAACGTAGTGTGTCTCTAAGTTTGTTTAGTGTTTGAAGGGAAATCCTTTAATCTGATCTTTTAGAAATGAAAAGAGGAAACAATTTAAATTCAAATGATGACTCGATATTTCCACTACAAAGGTAAAGAATTCCTCCAGTGAGGAACTTCATGGGCAAACTAGCGACACCATGTTATTGACTAATATACCTTTTATTACAGAAAGCAAACTTACTTGCATTATTTATGCTTTTAATAGGTTTCTGATATACAAGCAAGATCAGCCGTTCTGTCCTGGAATCTCCCAGTTAGTTCACAGAATGGAGAGAGCCATAGTCATAGTCCAGCAGCATTTACATTTGAAGTAGCAATATCCAACAGTGGTAAAAATGGAAAATTTAAATCTGTCTATGTGTAAGTTTAGTTTCTTCATTTAAGCACAATACCGATGTTTAAAAACATTAACCAATCAGCAATCTCTCTATCAGGAGCTGTTTGTTGACTTGCAGACCTACCTACTTCACGTGAAATAAATTTTAAGTAATATCACTAAGAGTTACATGGACAATGGAAAACTTGAAAATTAAATGTGCGCTACATGGTTTTGCTTTTCAATAAGCTTTTATCCTTTAAAGTATAAGGAAGAGCTGTGACTCTTGGTTTTTTTTTTTTCCTTTTCACAGTGGGGAAGAATTAACAATCACTCTTCCTGATCTCAGACCAGCAACTGATTATCATGCCAGGTATGCTTCTGGGGATGAAATACTTAATGCTTTTGTTGATATGTTAATTACAAAATGATTGTGGCTTCATGAAAAAGGTGTGATCACAAACAACTCGAGGAATATTCTGCATAAAATATCATAGCTATGGACGTTGCTGTTGCTATCTAAATTCCCACGTATCTTCTAATTTCATAAAAATGTCTCCTCGTTTTCCTCCCTACTATCTTCTGTCTTTTCTTGTTTCTCTGAACTTCAAGTTATCCTCTGTTGGTATTTTTTTAGAACAAGATTGGACTCAGTGAAAGAGATTGTTGCAGGCTGAAGGCAGAGGCAAATCAAATAATTTAGACTTTATCATGGATTTGCAAGTCTGACTTTTCTGCTTGATTTGTAAAGTTGCTTCTCTAAACTGCAAGCTGCTTAGCTGTGCAAGAAGGGAAGTGGAAACTGGTTGAGAAGTTAGATGCTGTGTTACAAGGGAACAAGACGTGACATTCAAGAATTGGCCCACAGAATAAATAAGCATTACTGGAGAAGGTGTGTAGCTGGTCAGGAAAAAGACAAGCTGGTTAAATAAGCCAGGAGAACACTGTGATCCAGTAGTAGAGAGAGCCTCTATGCTTGGGCACAGAAGAAAAGTTTTAAGACTTACTGAAGCAAACTCCAATTCTTAAACTGTAAAGCAGTTCTGTGTGTGCTAAACACTCGGCCCAGCTCCACTTGCATAGTGTAGTGTGTGTTTGGTGTGTGGCATTGCTTTCTGTACAGGCCAACTGTCTTTTGCCTACAGTGGATTTGGTAAGATGGACAGTATTTCTGAAAAGTTGGTCATGTCATTGCTCTTCAAAAACAAACATAAATGAGCGTGGCTGTTCTAGAGATTCTGTCCCATTTGAACAATTACACTGATAGATGTGGTTTTATTGCCTGAACAGCTGTTTCAGGCCATTTTAGTATCTGTACTCTTGCACAAGTAAGTGTTGTCCATATTTGAATCTCAGGATCTTTTTAGCAAAAGGTTAATTTCAAGTCAGGTATTCTGTTACCATTTGGTAACACTTGCTATAGTTTGCAGCGTGCCTCCCACTAAAATATCTCCGCTGTGATAGACAGTAATTGTAAAGTAAATGAAGGACACCAAATGGAATCTCCAAGGTCAGGAAGTGTACCTCTGTGATCTCCATCTCACTACTCCATCAGCATGCCCCTGTCTCCCTGAACACGGAACGGAGAATAGTGTTTCTTGTGATGTGGGCATCAGTTACTAGAACCTGGAGTGACATCCCAAACTCACTTTGTTATTTCTTTCTGAATGAAAAGGCATGAAATTATTGTCTTTTAGAATTAACAATCTGAAAGAAGAGTGATTGGGCACTTGTTTCCTATAACGTGAGCAGGCTGGTCTTGTTGCTGTAACCACTGCTTGTGATTAAATGCATTTCTAAAGCGGACAACTCTTTCCTTAAATTTTCAGGTGCTAATGCAATAACAACATAATTAATTGTCCTTTGTTCAGAGTTTCAGCAGCCAGCAGTTCCATAAAAGAATCCATTTCAGAATTAGTGAGCTTCACTACAGAAAGTTGTGAGCCAGACTGTCCAGCTGCACCGAAGCTAATTAACAGAACCAAAAACAGCCTGAGTTTGCAGTGGAAGGTAAGCACTCTGATGTATTAATGTACGGTGTGTTTAAATTTGCTTTGTCAGTAATTTAGTGTGTGCTTCAGGTGTTGGCTTTTAAGTTGCTCGGTTAAGACTGATAACTAAGTCATGATTGTTTCTTCCTCTTTCTTTCAATGTTTACTTAGTTTCTTGCATACGGCTTCAGTGTGATAGAGTTGCTAGCATGTCTCTCAAGTATGAACCCTTCAGTAGGAAAGTTCTCTTCTGAACTGGCAGCATAGGAAAGAATAGATCTAGCATTTATATTTTCACTTGTGGGTCCTGGATGATAAATGGATATGACTTAACATTATAATTCAGAGTTCTTATAGTTATTCTGACCCATTGTCTTTTCATGTTTTTCTTATGACTACGCTTATACCTGGAAAATGGTCTATAGCTAAATGAATTTAATTAGTTAACTTATTTCTATAATCTGTACTTAGAAAGTGAAGAAATTTCCCAACTCATTTGTCACAACAAGCACAAATATTGCTCACCTGGATGCTTATGTTGCTCAGACAGTTCGTGAACACGCAGTGCAAGGACACAAGGAAAAATGCTATATCATTGGCATTATTCATAAAATAAAACTATTAATAAGTTCATATTCTAAACTATCTGAATTAATAGTAGTAGTATAGCAGCCTGGACAGCCATGAGGTACGAGAAATTAAACTAGCTAAAATAGCGGCTATTTTTGACCTTTTCTAACTGACTTCACTGAATACGTGCATCTGTGCCCAGAGCGGAGTTTCAGATTATCAAATTATGTGTTTGTGGAAGAAGAGGGCTGTTCTGTATGCCTACTGCAGATTCTCTGCAGCTCTACACTAAATATTTTGTTTTAAAAGGAAGTTGGAGTATATTAAATTAAATTGTTAAAATGTTTTTTTAATGTGCTAAAATATTTATAAAAGTATAACCATTTGATTTCAACTTTTTTCATTGTTTCTTTTTTTCAGTCCTCAAATGACAATGGTTCCAAAATAACCAATTTTCTTTTAGAATGGGATGAGGTAAGACCTTTTCTAGTGGAAAAAAAAAATTGTAATGACATCTGTAGACCAATTATACTTAAAAATACTGTTTGCTTAGGTACATCAGCTATTTTCAGTGCAACTGTCCAGACAGTTTTAAAGGGACAAGCCGATTAAAAAGCTTGAATCAAATGACTAGTATTGCAGCAATTCAAGTAGACAGTCCTTTCAGATCCTTTGAGAGCACAGTGTAAACTCCCTCGTTTGGCTCTTGTCATTCAGGGTATCGTCAATTCCTCTGCTCTGTTTAAAGGGGTGAGCATTTGGCTTGTATCTTTGGTAGCTGTCACAAATACCACTTTACTCTTGAACTTCTTACTGAATTTTACTCCAAAGCGATAAAAAAAACTTCAAAAATGTGTTTTGTTTTCAGTTGCAGTCACTTATTGCCATTTTGTCAAATTGACAGTGCCAAAAAAATAAACAGATATCTCAATCAAAATGTGGTTTTGTTATCAAGAATGCTCAGGAATTACTATCAGCTTACTCAATATGACCATGATGACATTGGCTTTTTACATTCTTTAGGCTTACTGATGACTTTTTTTCAATGATTATTAAATTAATGAAATTAAATTTAGGGAAGTTTAAACTGAAGAAGTTGACCTTAGCAGGGAGCGTACAGTCTCCATGCAAAAAGTGACTCAGGTTGTTCTTACTTTTTTAAAGGGGAAGAATGGACCCTTCAAAGAATGCTACTATGGGCATCTGAAGCAGTATAAACTTACCAAACTCTCTCCTTCTACAAAATATTCACTCAGATTAGCTGCTAAAAATGATATTGGAATGAGGTAATGAACACGGTGTATCATATCACTTATTTTCTCATCACCTAGGTCTGCTGTTGCTAACATTTTTTTAAAATGTTT